CAAAGTTCTGTAAACAATACTGTATTGTACTCTACAACAAGCTGGGTTAGGATCTACCAGACACCTTTACTGTACTGTCTATAAAGAAAACCTGCTTTGGGGACTTTCTTTAAACTTTCTGGATATATTCACTCCATTCACTGATTTATTCTAATAGTTATAAATAGACAATAGATAATGTATTGTGAAACATAAGGAAATTTTCTAGCTGGCTTACTGTCAAAGCTGTCAATGATAGAATCAAAAATGTACTTATACTGATAACCATTGCAGAAGTTTGTCAGGGAATGTAAAATAGAAATATAATTAAACTAACCAATACGACCATAATTATCAAGAGCTGTTTGTACTACCTTTTCACCATCCTCTACAGAATCTGAAGAAAGAATAATTTCATGTTTATTCAATCAAATTGTGGCTTGACTCTAGGTAATCTGTCCAAAAATTCTTCCATTGGAGGGATATTCAATAAGTTAAAATCTATCATGAACTGCACAAAACAATCATTTTCCTTTTATTTACAGTTATATTGGAAGTCAAAACACCAGAAATATACTTCAATCATGACATTAAAAGGCAGAAAGGGGTTCTATTGCATATTCATACAGTTAGCTTGTAAACCTTGTCATTCATTTGACAAATTAAAATTCCCTTTGTCCACATCCCAGTTAAAAATTACTTCTAAGCCATAGTCCAAGATATCATTTTACAAGTCTTTTTTACCACCCTTTAATATTTGTGGAATTCAAACCTACCATAATTAGCAACTGCCTTTCCTCCTCGACTTTTGATTTCATTTACAACTAAATCTGCTGCTCTTGAACCTTTTCCCTCTCCGGCCATACTACCTCCCAAATCATTAACTAAAATATATCAATGTTTTGATCAATTGAGAAAAAAGGCTTCTACTTCTGCTGACATTTATCTGCAAAAGTAACAAGAAAAAGCTGGATAGAAAGCATCAGCCTTAACTATCTAAAACAAATCTAAAGGATAAATTCTAAAGAAGGAATTTAACTGTTAAATAAATGATACCTACCCACCACGGAGGCTCCTCTATCTGCAAACGCCAAGGCATATTCTTTACCAAGACCTGCAAAATTCACAGTTTGTTTCATTAAAAGATAATACCTCAGTATTTTGGAGAATTTGTTGTATGTTACAACAATATAGTGATATGTCGTAAAAATCTGAAGATGTTTTTAAAACTTTGAAAAATATACAACCCTATGTATTGTATGTGTTGGATATGGAGTTTTAAATCCTATTTTTCAGCTCCTAATTGGGCTAGAGAAGATAAAAATCCTACTTGATGCATAATTAAAGATCTCTTTCCCTCTTCCCCTTAACATTTCATTATGTTCATGGTATCTCTCTATCAATATCCATTAAACTCTTTTGTAATCAGAGAAACTTAGTAAAATATCAAGTACTGTCCTCTTTAGATAATAAACTGTAGGTCAAAGGTCAGACACAGGTATACATTCATTATCAGGTTTTAAAGGGGATATCCCACAAAGAAAAGTGCCATTTCATAAAATGTCGATAGCATCTCATTTATTATGTTTATTTACTTTATATTTCTTTCTTCATTGGTTTCTCCCCTGTCTGAATATTGTACATCTTGTGGACAAGGTCTATAATATTAAATATCCAGTGTGCATACTCTAACTCAATGAGATGTTAAGTACATCCATCTTTGAGCTAAATGACAGCAAAAGTTATAATAAAAATATCCTTAATTAATCTTCAACATGATGAAGTCTCCAGAAAAGACGAGTCATTAATTTAACTTTCAACTGCTGATAATTTTGGATGCACAGGGATACAAAGGTTCACATTTCGTGTGGTAAGCTGTGAATATTATAACTGATTAGCTTAGAAAAAGAATTCCTGAGACCGAGGACAAGGCATAACTAACTGTCAATGGTGAACATGTCCCTTTTTTATAAGCAAGTGTGAAGTGGTGGGCACTTTGATACTGGCAGGCCATTCTGCTAAGCTACCCTGATCGAAATGAGTGTTTCTTGATAAGAAAATCAGGATTTATTCATAGAGTTAAGTCTAGAATGAATGTCATTGAACATAAGATAGTAATTTGACTGATCTCAACATAGACCTTTGGACCTAATGACAAAAGTCCAAATCCACCTATTACACGATTTTCACTGTAGATATGTTTTTATTACTTATAAACGGAGTAAATTAAGTGAAAATCTTAATTGACATTGCACCAGAAAAACTGCGAATGTTATCGATCACGAAAGGGTTTTTTTCATTCAAAATGATCATACATACCCCCTCCAGCACCGGTGACGAGAACCACTTTTCCATCGAATCGTATAGGCGCAGCCATCTTGGATGTTTACCTTTGAACTCAATCTAATCTGCTGACATCCTTGAGCATCGAAAAACAACTCCAAGATTTGTAAGTTTATATTTTGATATTTGTGATCAATTTAGAGGGAACGTTTTATTTCATCTATTGGAATTATGAAAGGAGCATGCTGGTATATCAAATCGTTCACTTTTGTAATTGTATTTGTATCAGAGAAAAACAAACGTTATAAAAGCAGCAAGGCAGTTGCGATTGTAGGTTGGTTGGTAGATGACAAGTTAACGTTCGCTTCCAGTGGATGCTGATATCGCAAACTAGGTAGTTGTTGGTAGTCGTAGTAGTTGGTAGTTGGATTGGATCAAATTGGATGATTCGGTGTTGCGGCAGTTGCGATTGTAATGACCTCTAACCTTATAACCTCTGAACCAGTATCTGACATCTGATTGGTTAGAATGAGAGTGCTGTGTGAATATTTGATAGGCTGCTTCCACATGTACACAAATCAACCAAAATGCTCATCTCAAACGATTTTAAATGTCTTTTTATGCTGATTTTAGGCTTTATTCAGTGGGTTTCGAGTTATGAAATGACCAGGGATTATGAGGAAGCCAGCCATTTTGATGTTATGCCGGGTGGTGCGGTCTTGTCTCACGAAAAACAGTTGGTAAGAAGTTTTGCATTTCTTGTTTGTTATGATCGTGTAAAAAGGGGGAGATGTAATTTGCCGGAATTACTCAGAGTCCCATACCTTCACTATATCCAAGTTAATATGGTAGCTCATCTGTGATTAACCTTTCAAACAAATGTGTATTTGTTAGTAAATGATCTACTTGCACTGTTAAGCAATAGCAAACACAGGCATCTCTATTTCTGATGTATAGTATACTGTGAAAATGCCTATGCCTCATCTATGCATGGCTTTCCGCTTTGTACCTCTATGCCTGTGTACCCAAACTCTTATGTTACCTTCCTAATGTGTAGAGGTATGAATTAATATTGAAATACGTATATGTCTATTTTAGGATGGTTTTACCTGTAAATTTACATATGCATGTCAAGGTGGAACAAAAGAGGTAAGATGGAAGTTGTAAACATTGTGTAATAATATCAATTCAAACCCAAGGGATGTTTCTAAACATAAACCACTGAGAGCTTATGTTAAGAGAAGATCTCTGAAAAGTTACATTAGCATCCATCTTTAAGCCTTGAGGAATCTGCAGTGAACATGTCATACTGCAAGTGCAACACACATGTCCTGATTGATTTCAAAGACCAGATGATTTCTACTTGCCTATTTCCAGTCCGAAGGAAAGAGTTTTCTACAAGGATAACCACCAAACTGAGCTC